AGCATTCTTCTTTATACAAGCATTTTGTAGACTTTTTGTTAACCATGGACATTTTATAATAGTATTGCGTTTACTAATTTGTGTATCAGACAGTTTTTTTTATCATATAATGAATTAAAAATATCCAAGAATTTATTAAAAGCACTCTCCACATTATTCTCACAATACACAGTGTTCCATTCCTGTTCCATTAAATCATAATTAAATCACTCTATTGTTTCTTCAGTTTTTGCTTGTTTTAATCCTGAATTTCGATGTATTTCACTGTAGTTACTATTTTAATCATACAGCGAGAAAACTGGTAGGTGGTCCGTAATGTCACATATCATGAGGCCRCTGATATTTTTAGTCTCTACATTATTTGTGAAAATATTGTCTATGAGTGTTGCACTGTTTTGTTATTCTACTTGGTCTAGTTATAGCTGGATATAGACCAATACTATGCATCCTGTTAATAAAATCTTCAGCTGCTTTATGTTTATTTGGATTAATCAGATCAATATTATAATCTCCACAGGTAATTTTTTAATTATTTTTTTATTATTTATTTATTTATTTATTTATTATCCCAGTCGAGGCGGGGGACACTGGGTCAGAGTGGGCCATGTTCTGCGCCTCAGTTGTTGAAGTGGCTGCCTTGAGCTGTGGCCACAAGGTTGTTGGTGCTTCTCTTGGTGGCTCTTGAACTTGGTGATAGACACCCCAGATTAGGGAGGCTGTCAAGCTGAATAAGGAGTCCTATCTGGCCTTGTTGGCTGGTAGGACCTCCGGAGGCAGCTGAGGAGTATTGGCGGGCCAAGTGGGCCGCAGCCCTGGCCGTTGCTGAGGCAAAAGCTTGGATGTGGGAGGAGCTTGGTGAGGCCTTGGACAAAGACTCGATGGGCAACCTTTTTCCTGGCAGACACCAGTTCTGCCACCTGAGCCACTGTGGCACCTTGAGAAAATTTTATATTGCATATAAATATTTTAAGATTTGTCAACTCTTTCACAGCCGTTGTAAATAGTCAGTGTCTTATCTGACAGACTTATTGGGGGTTTAACATTAATTATTGGACAACTTGTGTAACAAG